ATGAAACAGGATGCATCTTCGTATAGTAATTCTGGAAGCAAACAATGAACCAATATGCAGTTCAAGATTATGAACAAGTTCTTCCAACAATTGATAAAAGTGCAGACAGCAATCAACAAACTCTGTATTGTCTTTTGGGTTTCATTACATGTTTCCAGTTCTTACACCAGTTACGATAACAAAACAGTACCTTCATTTTCATTACTCAAGGACGCAACATCATCATCGTCAAGCTCTGCAGAAACTCCGTCCGTAATCGATTCACTACGCTCAGGTATTGTTTCATTTTGACGAATGCACCCATCATCATTAGTTTCATCTTGTGTTGTATCATCATTAGTTGCATTTGCATATTCACGATCATGAACAACACCTTTACGTTTACCGTTAATGCCATCGATTTCATCAAAGATATCCTTGACGAATGTCTCGTTGAAGGAGATGGGATCCATAGGAGTATGATAACTTATTATTCGAAAAAATACTTCAATCGATTCATACCTGATTGTTAATAGAAAATTATTATTTAGTAATGTTTTATTTAGTAATGTTTTAATTACCATATTAGTTTCAGTTATTAATAGAAAATATATGGATTCATAATTAATAGGATATTTATTGATATTATTTAAAAATAATTATTATTATATAAAATTAGCAAATGACAATATTAACCTTTTCATTTAAAAAATAAATTAAAACAAATAAAATTCATTGATTGGTTGAGAGGGAGGTTGCATGGGTTGTACAAATAAGGAGGGTTGTAAAAGAAATATACCCTATATATATATATATATATATATATATATATATATATATCCATACTATGCAAACCACATAAGGAGTTTATGCAACCGAGACTCGACTCGACTCCCTTTCAAACAGCCCCCTCTCAAGTAGATAAGCAGTCTAAATGAAATGGTCACGTCTTTCGGACGGCTAAAAAACAACAACAAACTCGACTGAAAATCGAGTGTTTTGATCTATGGTTTTTTTTGGCTATTCACATAATTCTTTTGGCGATAAAATAATGACAATTATATGCACCAACATTAAGCAAATACAGGATTAAATTCGAGAAGAAAACGAGAAGAATTTTGGGTTCTAAAGACGATTTTGACAAACCCCTAGTTGCTGCCATCATTGTTTAACCGAATAGGTGACCTTCGAGTCACCGGCACAACTCAAATCTTCCTTAAACAATCCCAAATTTTATAACCCAACTACTAAATGTATAGATTCGAGACTGGGACAGAAACTTACCTCGAACCGTCAAGAAATCGATGGAACCTTGCTTGCTTTTGGCCGTCGGGTCCCATCCTAGGTTCTCGATGGACTCTTCCAAGCTCTTACGGTTTCTCTCTAGCGATTATCACAATTATGGGAGTTAGGTTTGGGATATACAAGATAAAACCTAATCTACGTACATAGCCCACGCCTATCATTCAAATTGCAAAGTTAAAGTGGGTTGTGCAAAACTAACCCCTCAAGATTGGTCAACTTCCTAAACTAACCCAAACTTCAAGTATATATATTTTTTATAGCCTTGCACTGATATATATATGCTTATATATACACACACACGCATATACATATCCGATATGTATTATAATTCTTCCCCCCAAAAAGAAAAGATTTTGTCCTCGAAATCAAACTAGGTCCTAAAATACACAGAGATGGCATTTACAAATTTTTAAAGAGATGCAGAGATTTTGATCGTAGAGATTCTTCCATCTCCAAAGTGGCCTCACGTTCCGGGTGATTTTTCAACAACACTTTGACAAACGGTATAGACTTCTTCCTCATGACTCGTTCCTACTTGTCTAATATAGCTTCGGGTTCTTATTCACACGAAAGATCCTCATGGATTTTATTTAATGGATATTTCACTACATATAATGGGTGATAATTGTAGCCTCCAAGCGTCGAAACGTGAAACACATTATGCACATGAGATAGTTGAGGTGGAAGAGCTAAGCGATAAGCGACTTCGCTGACCCTTTCTAAAACCTCGAAAGGACCGATGTACCTTGGACTTAGTTTTCCTTTTAAGCCAAACCGTCGTATACCTCGAGAAGGAGAAACCTTAAGGAATACGTGATCCCATTTTGGAATTCTAAAGCTTTCTGATGACGATCTGCATAACTTTTTTTGACGTGATTGAGCTTCTTTCATATTTTCCTTGGCTACTGCAACATTTTCATTAGTGACTCTTACAAGTTTTGTCCCTAATAACAGCCTCACCAACCTCATTCCAACATACCGGTGCCCGACATCTCCGACCATACAGAGCCTCGAACGGGGACATACCAATGCTTGCTTGCCAGCTATTATTATATGCAAACTCTACTAAACATAGGTACTCATCCCAACTTTCGTGCCATTCTAGAGCACATGACCTTAACATTGTTGGTCCCAAAAGGGTCTACAAGAATACTAAACAGTTTGTAGAAGGGGGGGGATGAATACAAACACAATTTTCAAATTTAAAATATATATTGATAAAGAAGATCAATACAGATTTTACAAGATTGTATGCGGAAAGATAAGTT